CTGCTGTCACCCCTCAGATTATTTAAGATCAGAGAGAGAAAACTTGTTAAAATTAAGGATCCATATTAAGTGTTCATTATTATTTGTAACCTGACAGCACTCCCAGAACTCATTCATACTGGGGGTGCATTGTGCCAGGCCTTAAACTCACACACACAGGGAGTCACAGGCTAAATCCTGAAGAGTTTATATCCCAGCTTGCTGCTCATGCAGTCAAGGGACTGTTCAAGCCTTTAGCTGTCAGAGTTCAAGGAGCGTCTGGATGATGCTCTGGGTCATATGGTTTAGGTTGTCCTAAATTCTTATGGGTCCCTTCCAACTCCAGATACTCTATGAACTGATGTTCATAGAACAGGAAATGTGCCTGACTAGTTAAGAAAATAATTATTCTACCTCATACAACACTCTGTGATGGTGTCCAACAGTTTACTGAACAGTGTTCAGTAAACTAAAATTCCAATAGTGTTGTGCTTTCACAGCACCTTCTGTCCAAGAATCTATCAGCTCTATCATGACTTCAGTGGTAGGAAACCCTACTCAGGAAGTTTTCAAAGGGAAGACTGAGTCCTCTGTTGACTAAATGCTTCTTTCACATCCTCACAGTGGGTCAGAGTCTAATTTGTATTGACTATACACCTTCAGGTCAAGAGGTGTCACAGGCTAGCGTGGATGATGTTTGTTTGTAGACAGTGATCATTTGTATCTCATTTTCCTTGTGGAACATGATCTTGTCACAGGCATCAACAACCACGAAGTGCATTTAAAGCAACATCTGGTGTCCAATTCTGACAGAAGTATGGCAATAATTGGACTGAAATCTCGGACACGACACAGGAATCTGTGCAACTGATGCAGAAAGCAAGAGGAGCAGATATTTCTCAAGGTGTTACTTACTATACACCACGGGGTGAGGGGGCTGAGCTGGCACAGGGTGTGTAGAAGGACCTGGGGACTGTGGCTCATCCGTGCTCGTGCCTGACTGCTGGAAAGCCAAGTCGATTTCTTCATCTGTCAGGCCTGGGGGAGCAGAGGAAATGAAATCAGTTTAGCACCTTTACCCACTTGATGCATAATTAAATTCTCAAGCCAGGCAGAACCCTTTCAAGCTGCAAAGAATTTTGGCACTGACTGGAGCAGTAATGCCTCCCCAATTTTGGATTCACTGGAATGTCTCCCTCTCTCTTTCTCTGTTGCAATTTAACCTTAAGCGACAGAATATTAGCCTCAACGCTGCTTCCAAATGTGGCTCATTCAATTTCCTTAATTTATCCTTGAGTTTATTGCTGCTTTTGAAGTAGCTTTCTATTGCAATTCTCCATTCTTCCCCCGAAAAAAAGATACCATCAACTGCAAATGTGGCTCATTTTAATCTGTAATGGTGTAAAAAAAAAAAAGAGGGGAAAAAACTAACAATAATGCATGAAAACAGACAGGGAAACAAAAAACTAATTATTGGGTTAGACGACTAATTAGTCTAGATCGTTTCCGAAGACGGGAATAATTTGCTTTATTTTATGACAAATGCAGAAATAAAAAGGAAAAAAAAATCAGGACTGACTGTGATTAGTATGAATGGGACACAGAATGTAAGGAGGAAATAAAACTATAACAAAACAGATCAAAACAAGGCCAAGCCCAAACTTTCAGCCGGGTTGCCCTGGCCTATTGCTGTGTGATTAGATTGCCCCAGGGCAGCCTGGCTGGTGTTTCACACAGAGCTGCAGAACACTGCACACATGGTACACGTCGGTGTGGTGGCTCCTGCCACCAGGAAACGCCAGGATGACCATCTGTAATTGGCCACAACATCTGGAAAGGATTTGGCCAACAAGGGGAAAAGCAAAGCAGCTAAAGGATCCACGGTGACCAGCATCTGTGCAGAAAGAAGCACAGCTGGACGACTTTTTCCAACAGCAGAAAACATCCTCTAGGAAAAGGATTTAGTGCTCAGATGGCAACCATGAAGTGGGACCTGGGCAGCTGTGCATTATTTGTTGTGTGACTCTCCTGCACAGAAGCACAGCAAAGTGTCCCTGCTACAAGGACACTTAAAGGGATTCAGGAGCTTTCACTGCACATGCAGAAAGGTTGGAAGTGAGAATATGGATTTAAGGAAAGAGATCTGGAAGAGAAGAGGCTGCTCACTTGGTTCTCACACAGCTGTTCTAGGGACTGAGCACAGTGAGAATGGTATGAACAGGACAGCAGTGGGGGGATAACTTCCCTCCATCATCCTCACTTGAGATCCATGAAGCACTGCTGGTAGATGAAATTCCTGAAGTTAATCCTTTAAAACACTCATCTTTTTAACACTACAGAGAGAGACAATACAGGAAATGACCAGGCTACTGGATACAATAGCTAAGCTTCAAGAAATTTTTTCAGGATCTTTAACTTCACTGCATACTTCAAATAATCTGTAGCACAAATGACATTGCCAGAAATAAATACACAAGTCAGGCTCAGAACTGTTATTTAATATCATAAGCACTACCACACTGCTTGTGGTATTCAGAAGGCTTCTAACTATTAACAGATCCTCTCCCTGCTCCTGTGAGCACATGGGATCCTGTGAGCTCCTGTGAGCTCCTATTCTACCCACTCTGCAGAGCAGATACTGATGCACAGAGGAGTTTGGTGATTTCTCTAACAATAGAACATTGTCAGTGTCATAAATAGTCTCAGAAATCTGAAATTCCTGATCTTCAGTCCTGCAGTCTGACAGAATCACCCCCTGACTTGTATTTGCTACATGCCTCAAACAGTAAGGAACCAAAACCACACATAGCAATATGGAACAAAACCTGCAGTGAGAGTAATAAAAGGCAGATGAACACAACTCTGCCCTAGTCACAAAAGCAATATTTATGGTGTCTAATCCATGTTAAAAAGCAAAGTCCTAATCAGAAAGAAACTCTTTTAACCAGCTCCTAATTATCCAATGTAGGAGAACACATAAACAGATGCCAACGCTGCAGATCACCAGCAACTATGGGATTTCATAAAGAGAGAGACAATATGAGCTGCTGCCTGCAAACGTGGCTCCCACTATAATAGGGCATTTTGTTCTATTCCCAGGCAAAGACAGCAAATCTGATATTATTTAACACTTAGAAACATCAGAAGTAATGGAGGATCCTAACTTCATTCTGCAAAAAGAGTAGAAAACAATGTCATTGTTCCCTAACCATAGTGCCCCTCTATTCTCATCCTCTTTGAGAATAAAAACTACAATCTTTTGCAGATAAAAATGCACATCTCGGATTGATCTGATCTTGCCAACTAGGGACACTCAAGTATCACTGTTTCCATTTAAACCCTGCTGTGCTGTGAAGACAAAGCTGATGTGAATGACACAATGATGGGAAACCTTTCACATCTGAATTCCTGCTTTGAATCCTGTGCAAAGCAGTGCAAGTTACAATTATTAGTACTTCCCTGGACTATTCTGCTGCCCAATGAAGTGGTCCTGGTGCCATTATACAGAAGAACATCACAACTATATCCCTTCTTAATTACTAGAGAAGGCTGGGAGTGTCATCCCCTTGGAACATCTCTTTGTCCATGTGGACAAGATGCTTTTAAGGCCCTGTCTTGGCCTCCCAGCATCAAGGGAGAAATCTCCCAGAGCTGATTCCTTAACCACACAAATGGAGAAAGTCTGCACTGTGGAGACTCAGTGAGGGCACAGAGTCACCTATGTCTTCAGAAATCTACCTGTCTTCTTGCCTGTCATTTCTCACACCCAGCAGCAAAAATGGACAAGATATTTGAAGACTGCCCTCAGAGAATTACAACCAGCTCATCACAATTCCCTTTGGACTGAACTCTTTACAGATTCACCACCTAAATACATGTGCAGCTCATACTGCACATAGTACAAACTTCCCATGCCCCAAATTAGTCAATCTCAATATATTAATCACAGAATCATAAAATCATCCGAGTTGGAAAAGACCTCCAAGATCATCAAGTCCAACCCTACCGTGGTTACTAGACCATGGCACTAAGTGCCACATCCAGTCTCAGCTTAAAACCCTCCAACTCTCTCTGTAAAAAATCTCTTCCTAATAGCCAACCTAACCCTCCCCTGGCAGAGCTTGAGTCTGTGCCCTCTGGTCCTGCTGCTGGTTGCCTGGGAGAAGAGACCAACCCCCACCTGACTCCAACCTCCTGTCAGGGAGTTGCAGAGGGTGAGAAGGTCTCCCCTGAGCCTCCTCTTCTCCAGGCTGAACACCCCCAGCTCCCTCAGCCTCTCCTCATGGCACTTGTGCTCCAGTCCCTTCCCCAGCCTCGTTGCTCTTCTCTGGACCTGCTCCAGCCCCTCAATGTCCCTCCTGACCTGAGGGGCCGAGAACTGAGCACAGGATCCAAGGTGTGGCCTCACCGGCACCGACTCCAGGGGAAAAATTACATAGAAATTACACAGAAAATTGGGAATTTCTAAACAAGATCAAATGTCATCTGTTCCAAAACCTCCCCTTGCTTTATTTTATCACACTCCTTCCAACACTGCACTATATGAAAGTATCCATGGTCCATCATGGTTCTAATCTAGCAGGAAGTTAGCAACCCAAACCCAATACCCCTTTCTTTGGATGCAAAAGCAGTGCCACAAAAACTGGAGCTTTGTGCCTAATGTAACTCCCAACTAGGTATGTCAAGACAATCACCTCAGCTCAAGAGAGGAATCGCTCTAAATTCACTTTCCAACACTTTGGAAAACAACCATTTCAGTTGTTCTGCAGTTACAGCAAGATCAAGCCCATGCAGAATGCAAAAGGTTAAAAGGAACAATAAAGGAAACTGCCAATTGTAAGTGAATTATATTTGGCTTTGAAAGCTGAGCCACGGCTATATTATAAAAGGCATCTCTTTGCGTTGTTTACCATCACCCTGACTAATGCAGACCTTTTTTTTTGTTTTAAATAATCTCATGCAAATTAGACACACACTTCCTTCCAGTTGATTGCTATCTGCAAGGAATAATCTAACCGCAGAGGGTACCGAGCAAGGACTGAGCTGAGGAGAAGGATGCACGGAAACTGTCTTCAGAGCCCTACGGAATGCAAACCTGTTCCCTTCCCCCAACCACCCGTCTCCTTCCTCTCCAGCACCACAGCCACTGCAAAGAATTAGTCAGAATTTTCACAAAGCCTTAAAATTTCCTTCTCAGGCCTCAGGGTGTTGATTTGAATAATCCAGTACCCAAGGTTGGTGTGCACTCCAAGGCTCCTGCTGACCCTCTCTGGTGATTGTCACTGCTGCCATTCCATTTGCAGGGATCACTCTGCAAATTGTAGTCAAACACAGAATCAGAGCAAGCCAGAGAATTAAATGGGTTGTCACAAACATCTCTTTGTGCCTGCACCTCGGGTGTTGTGCAAAAAGCTCCTTTGCCCAAGAACTTTTATGACTTGACTGCCTGTTTATGTCCTTTTACAGTATCTATTGCTATTTAATATAGGGACCTCCTGTACATCAAACCACTGCTCCTCTTATGGCCACTCTGAAGTAGAGCAATACTCAGAGTATTTACAGCACTCTCACCCATATTTCACAGATGAGGAAGAAGTGAGACATACAGATATAGGAAGTGCTCCAAGGTCAGAACTGAACCTCTGACAGTCAGAAAATAAAACCCAAGAGATGTGAGTCCCAATCCATTGTTTTACCTATTTTCTGGTAAAATACAGTAGCAATAATTGCAATGCAAAACACTTGCATGAGCTTAACCAGACAAGCCACTAAGTTTTTCCTTCTCTGACACAGGCTCTGACATTTCGGTGACAAACCTTTTCCCATCCCATGCACTGAGGATATATTTTTCTTCATTATATTCCTCCTTGCACTGCTCAGTGCAGTAATTCATGCAAGACTTTCACAACCTGAATGCAACAACAGTTTTAGGGAGAAAATTGCTGTTTAGGTGAAATTCTGCCATAATAGGGAAAAGTGGGGGAAAGAATTCAGTTCCTTTTGTGGCTTTCCCAAACCAGCTCTTTCACCACTCTGAG